AGGCTGCCCACAGACCCCAGCCCCAAGGTGTTGGTCTGCCCACCCTCACTGGGAAGGGCTGTGCTACATGGCGAAAGCTGCTGTGGGTCCTGGTACCTGGCGCCCCATGCCAGGGCTCATGATGCCAACGGCACCAGGTTTGTGGTACCTGGTGGTCGGGACGGCCTGGCCCTGCTCCTGCAAGGCCGAGATCTGTTCCCAGGAGGGTTGAGGGAGGGTTGGCTGTGGGGTTCCTGGAGGCCTCTCTCGTGCACTCTGGGTCTGTCAGGAGGCTGGCAACTGTGGCCAGACAGATAGAAATAAAACCTAAAATGAGAAAAAAACTTTTTTCTAGAACTTCCCAGAGAGCAGTGAGCTGGTGCCAGTGGGTCAGAGGCTTGTCACGTGTGGGGGGTGTGTGTGTGTGCGCGCATGCACGCTCTGTGGGGTGTGTGCACATTTCCCAGTGTGGCTGTGCGTGTGTGTGTGGACACATGCACACGTGTGTTCAGAGAACACCACGCTTTGCCCCGACTCCTGGCTCAGGCCTGAGTCTCCAGCCATGGTGTCCGCATTCCTCCCCTGGTCCTTCTCTGCTCTGCACACTGGGAACCAGGACGAGAGGCATGCGGGGCCAGGCTGTGTGCTTCCCCCACCCACCCTGAGCCCACACTGCTCTGGAGGGAGACCCCGGCTTCCCCTGCCCACCCCAAGCCAACACCGCTCTGGAGGGAGACTCCAGGCCCCTCAGTCCCTTTCCTGCATCTGAAAGGGCCAGGGCAGGGCGTCCGGCAGGTGAAGCTCCCCTTAAAGCCAGGTCTGGGCCGGTTTACAGGGAAGCACTGCTCATGGACCACCCGGTAGATCACACCGGCGCTGCACACACAGGCCACACATGCCTGCACACGCACACTTCTGGTTCACACGCCCACACTCACGCGGCTTCTGCACACCACACAGCCAGCAGGTGAGGAAGTGGATGCAGCGTGGCTGTCTCTTAGCGGCTTCACCTGGAATGTCACTGTGGACCCCAGAGCCCGAAGTCCTGGCAAGCACAGAAATCACACTGGCAGCCGTGCAGCCCCCGCCTGTCCTGCTTTTGGCAGGTGAGGCCTGGCTGAGAAAAGTGGGGAAGGAGAGGAGGGAGGATGTGGGGGCCATGTCCTGCTTCTCCACCGACCTCGGGTTTAGCGTGCTCCCTTCGATTACTGGCTCCATTTTTGATGTCTTTTACTTTTTGTTTGTGTTTTTCCTGGTATCTTGAGTAAAGTCTCCCTGAAGCATCAAATTGGGTTTTTTTACAAGTACCCTGTGCTGTTGCCTCATCTGCTTTGGTGTGCCGTGGGTCACGCGGGCCTGTGCCATGGGTCAGGCGGGCCTGTGCCGTGGCCGTGGGTCAGATGGCCTTTGTGCCATGGCCATAGGTCAGACGGGCGTGCTGTGGGTCAGGTGGGCCTCGTCCCCACAGGAACACCTGGCTCTGCAGCAGTGGCCGCCATGTCATCCTGGCCAGGCCCCTGCACCGAGGGTGGAGCCACGGGGTCTCTGATGCCTTCCTTCTCGTGCTTTGGTGGAGAATGTGGCTGGATGTCCTCCCATGAGGAACGTGTTCTCCGGCCTGGTTCGCTGGCCCCTGGCCCCAGGCCCAGCCCCGCAAGGCGCCCCGTGGGCTTCACCTGGAAGTGTCACCTCTGACTGCTGTTGTGGGTGATGAGGATTCCAGGGCTGCAAACAGGACCCTAGGCGCTGTCCACACAGCATGGCAATCTCTTAAATTAACGCAGCGTGGGGGGAATCGGGGTTGAAACCGGTTTGTGAGCCAGATTTTCTGTCCCTGTGGGGACTTCCTTGGGGCAATTTGAAAAATGCAGGTTTTACTTGTAGGCCCTAAATGCATAATTTCCCTTTGACTGACGGCTGCTCCTGTGCCCTGCCGGGAGAGGAGCCTGACTCCAGGTCGCCTTGGCTCCATTTCTGTGCAGCAGCTCAGACTGTGGGGCGGAGGGTGAGACATTCCTAGTCGTGAGCTGCCTCTGTCCACCCCACACCTCCCTCCCCTGCGTGCGCACAGCTGAGTTCCGCATTGAATACATTTGGCCTCAATCATCCTCTACCCGTCATGTCACCTTGTAAGTGCTGAGGCCAGCACAGGAGCTAAAAACAAACATTTTAATGTGTAGGAAACTCAGAAACTCTTACACCTCAGCAGTAGAATAATACATTTTGTTTAGTTAAGGTTCAGGCAAAGGGAGGTCATTGTTGTGACAGGTAATTTTATAAATAGGATTCTGACAGGTTCTGTACTGTGCCAGAGGCAGAAAGCCCGTGCAGTGGGGCCCGTGACGTATTTAAATTACTTTTCTTAAAATGAACTTCATGTTTTAAATAATAAATGTTTACCTCCCAGGTTACACCTTAAATATTCCCATTTTCACTGAAATGGCATGTTTTTTAAAGGATACAGTCATACGCCAAATTCACAGCATTCCACACACCATCAGAGAACTGCCACAGGGATCCTGGGGGAATTTTAAATTGTAGTTTAAGACCACGTGACCCTGGCCAGGCCCTCGGAGCTGCCCAGGCGCCCCTCCCCCACCCCCAGAGGTGGTTTTGGTCAGAGACTCATTTACATTTTTTCTATGTAAATTAAATTTTTAGGTATTAAGTCTCGGAAAATGGAATACTGTGTGGCAGAATCTGCCTCTTAATCTCTGCTTCTCTTCTTACATTTCCCATCATAAAGGTGTTTGAATCCTACAGAGAGTTAAGGTATCTCAGGAAGTTCATTAATTTGGCAAAAGGCTGGAGTCTGTCTTCCGAGGAACTAAGGGCTGGACAGGCAGGTCCCAGCGTCCCCCGTCCTGACTGTGGAGACACTTGTGTATTCATGCGGGAAGAGGGGGCTGCAGTGGAAAGGGAAAGGCTTGTTCTGCGGAGTTACATGGTCTTAGCTGTAATCACTTTGGAATGGGGTGCTGGTGGCTTTGGGTGCAGAGACTCCTGTGGGCATCTGACACATCGGGGCTGTGTCCTCGTCCCTGTCTGTGGCTTCCCCACCGTGTTCCCACGTGACACCTTCATTCAGCCTCTGGCTTTTGTACTTCAGACCCCAAACGCCCCTTCGATGTCTCAGCCGGGGCCTGGGTTCCAGCTCGGCCTCACGTGGCGTCCCAGGCCCTGCCCATCAGTCTGGGCCTCACGGTCAGGCCCTCGGTGACAGCAGCCATCGCTTCACTGTGGCCTCCTCCCTGGGGGGCTCTGAGTTCAGCTGCCAGTGAGATTGGTTTGTTCTTTACTGTGGTGACCGCACGGAGACTGAGGCTGAGGCTGAGCTGGAGCCACGGAGCAGGGGCCGCCTCTTTGCGCGGGCTCCTGCAGGCCCATCTCCCCTCTGCCCACTGACATCTGAGAATCCTCCGTCCCCTGCAGTCTGAGGGGCAGCCCCTGGCTCGGGCTCCCCAACCTTCTCCCCCACCTTGCTGGCCCTGAGTGGGCGGCAGGCATCTGCGTGGTGGGGGCAGATATTGCATTTTCCTGTGGCTGGAACGTGCCTGCAGGAGCCCGGGCTTGGAGCCTTCACATGGTGGTAGTGCTGCAGTTGCCATCGGTGGTCAAAGATTTTAAAGTTAGTTTAGTGAGAAAATCGACTCCAAACGTGATCAGAGGGGTTGACGCGTTCCAGGATGAGTGGTTCCTGGGGCTGGGTGTTGCCACGGGCCTTGCACAGATTTTGCTGATTAATCTCAGGGCTCTGAGGCTGGTGCCCATCAGGCCCCACTTGGGGGATGCAGAAGGGAAGGCGCTCTGAACGAGGGGCCCTGTGGGAGGCCCCACTGTGCAAAGGGTTTGACTCCTGCGGCCTCCCTCTAGGCCTGTGTGCTTGCTTTGAGAATCAGATGTTCGTGTTCCAAACCAAATCGGCCTCTTTCAAATAGAATCACACTATAGTGATTGTAAATGGGAGCGTTAAAGATAAAAACAAACATTTCTAAAAATGACTCACTGCCGAAGGCGGAAGCACGCCTTCGTGGTACGGAGAAGGAGGGTGAGAGGCAGCAGCACTGCACCTTGCATTTACCTCTCAGACACCGATGAGCAACTCATCCCTCAGAACAGCTGGTCCTGAACACGTGTGTGCCCTGCCGAAAGGCGCAGACCTTCCCAGAGGCGGGAGCAGGGCCCGGCCACCCATGTCCTGGCAGAAGCACCGGGGCTGCTCCATTTGGCCAGAGTCTTATCCCAGTGATGTGGGTTTTGAGTCTCACATACATGGCGCCGGCCGAGAAGCCATGAGCGGCTCTGCAGGGTGGTGCGGCCGATAGACACCTCCATGCACGGTTGCCCTGGGCAGTGTCTGCCGCTAGCGTCTGCCTCTGCTCAGCTGCCAGGACGGTGTTGAGCACTCCCCTACTCCCCTGCCTCTGCGGGAGGAGAGGTGCAGGAAGCCATCAGGAAGGCTGCTGGGGCCCGAGGCCCGTTGTGCCGTGTGTGTGCACACAGTGTGGCATCCCTGGTCAGGAGGGGGAGCTGCACGCTGCCCAGTTCCAGGTTAATGGAACACAGGAAGATGGGTCGTGTCCTGCAGGGCCTCATCTGGATTTACTGGTGACGCGAGCCTTGCCCGTGGCTCAGCGAGGGCTCAGCTTTCCTGCACAGCTTCACCGTGGCCTCGGCGTGGGCACACACAGTGAGCATGTGTGGATGCATACGTGTGCACATCCATGCCCACACGTGTGAGAGTGCAAGTATGTGTGCAGGTGTGTGCATACGTGTGTGTGTGTTTGAAAGTGGCCACAGGTGTGTTCAAAGCCTAACCCTCAGTGCCCAGGTCCATTAGGATAACAAAGCATTTTCTAATCTGCTTTACAAAGACACCAGTATAATATGGCAGAAAAATACAAAGTGGGTAGGACAGGGGGACGCAGGCCTCGAACCCACTGCAGGTTTTCTCTGCTTTCGGTGACTCCCAGGGGTCCGCACTCTGGGTGCTGAGTGGGTGCTTCCTCTTCTCTCGCCAGCTCCATGGCTACTTGGAGAGTGAGCCGCTGATGCTGCAGCTTTTCATCGGGACGGCGGACGACCGCCTGCTGCGCCCGCACGCCTTCTACCAGGTGCACCGTATCACGGGGAAGACCGTGTCCACCACCAGCCACGAGGCCATCCTCTCCAACACCAAAGTCCTGGAGATCCCACTCCTGCCGGAGAACAGCATGCGAGCCGTGTAAGCGCGGGGACCTTCGACCTTTGACCTCTGGCGGGGGCGGTGGGCGGGGCGTGCCTTCCTCCCGGCCCTGGGGGGTCTGGCCGGCCCCCTGCACTTCCAAGCTCCGTGGCTAGGACACTCTTGGTTTAACAGCCAGTAAGTAAACCTCACTCTTGCTTTTGACAATGGATTTGCTTCTCTCTAGGGTTTCAGCTCTGTGTATGTTGCCACTTAAAATAATATCTCAGATACGCAGCTATAAATACCTCCCTCCGCATTTAGCTCCTAAACAGGACCCCTGTTTCTTTCTGAATACAGCAGTTTTGTAATGAGAAGGATGGTTAAAACGTGAGCATCAAAAAATTAAAGCAGTCAGCATATCCGGATCACGTTGAACTTTAGGAGGTTCGGACAACACGGATAGGCCTGCGCTGACGTTCTGAGTCTAATTTGGCACTGTAATTTGTTTAAAAGTGAATTTTTTAGTAAGCCGAGGACAAAACATGTAATTTCCAAATAAGGCCTTACTCGCTTAATCCCAGCTTGTGCTGGGCACGCTGGCCCTGACCTGTGAAGGCAGCCAGGAAAGAGGACTGCTGGTTCCTGAGAGATTCCCATGGTACCATGGTGGGAACAGATGACAAACACGTCTATGGGTGAATGAGCGCAGGTTGAGCTGGGATGGCTGGAACGTGCAGACCAGCAGGATAGAGCCGGGCCGAAGGGCAGGGACAGCGTCCTACGAGGGTGACCCGCAGGCCGGGAGCCCGTGTGATGGCAAAGCTGTAGGGGGGTGCCCCATCCAGGTGGAGCCCCGGGGGTGGGTGCAGAGGTCCTGGGGCTGCAGGAGTAGGGAGGAGCCCCACACGGGGAGGGACAACATGTAGGAGATGGCGGCAGGGGCCACGTCAGGCATTTTAATAAGTGACTCAAAGCCTCTTAAGTCAAAAACAAAGGGAACGCTTTCTCTCCACGTTGGCTTTTCAAGTGTTGGGGGGAATGTGTGCACCTGGGAGCTCATTCTGAATCCCTGGGTTTGCCTGGAGAGCTATAATCCAAGTTTCCTGCAGACAGGGCACAGTCAGGTGGTTTTCGAGAACAAACCTTGTGTTCCGTAGCCGCGGTAAATGTCCTGGCCTCGCTGGCGGCTGTGTTCACCCCACCATGATGTGGGGCAGCAAGGCTGGCTGGGAGACGCCCACAGCCAGGACCGCACGCCAGCCTGGTGCTCGGTGCCCACTCAAGGGTGGTCAGGGTGTCTCTGTTTATTCTCATTCTCTTAACTTAAAAATACTGTTTTTTAGTGCATTGAGAATATACACATGGAATGTTTTACTGGAGTCTGATTTTGAATGAAATTGTTAAGTTAAAAGAGATTATATGAAACCGTAGAAGAAACGGGTTTTACACACAAATGAAGGCTTTTAAATATAGTGGAAATAATAGCATCTTCTGATAAATCAAGTTTTTTGGGAGCTACTCCAAGATAAGAGAGAGCAGCAGGTGCCTCCGGCCCCTCCCTTGGGCTGCTCTCTGCCGCTCTGGTGACATCCCCGTGTACGTGGCCAGCGTGGGTGCTAGAGGCAGCCAGGACTCGGGACAGCTCTGACCGGACCCACTTGGTCAGGGCTGGAGGCTGGAGGGAAGGTGGGAAGGGAACGGTGGGAAGGGGAAGGTGGAAAGGGGAAGGTGGAAAGGGGAAGGTGGAAGTCGCTTTTCTTGGGGCTGCCTCCGCTCGCCCCCTCTCACCTGTGCCGGCGTCGGATTCTGTTCTGCGCTAGGCAAGGGCCTCACGTTGGCAGCTTCAAGGTCTTGTTTTCCTCGGGGGAGGGACAGTGACCAGCTCCCTGGCATGAGCTCGCGGGGCTAGGGGGAGGGCCAGAGGGTCTGGGGGCCGGGCCTTTCTGCTGCCGTGTCAGCTAGTGAAGGAAAAGCTGTGGGCTTTTGTTTTGGGCAGCATTGACTGTGCTGGAATCCTGAAGCTCAGAAACTCCGACATTGAACTTCGGAAAGGAGAGACGGACATTGGGAGGAAGAACACACGGGTACGGCTGGTGTTCCGTGTTCACGTCCCGCAGCCCAGCGGCCGCACGCTGTCCCTGCAGGTGGCCTCCAACCCCATCGAATGTTGTAAGTGGACACCCGCGCGCTGCAGGGGAAGGAAACCGTCGGTGTCCCACGTGCTGTCGCTGTCTTTCCCTCTCTCAGCTTTTCGTTTGTGTAGACTTAGTACTGAACTGTTCCACCAAACCCACCACAGTGTGTGGCCATGTGGGGTCTGAGTTGATCACGGCTGAGTTACTGCCTGTGGCCCTCCCGGGGGCCCCTGGCTCTGGCTCCCCTGATGCTCGAGCATGGCCAGGGAACGCGGTGTGGGCCAGGGCTTCCCCCACGCTGTGCTCACCTTTGCGTATTTGTGCGGTGACTGTGATTTGCGTGAAACTGGCTGAGTCTTAGGAGGATATTTCGATGCCGCCTTCAGCACGAGGTGGAGACCATGAGGATTCATGTGCATGGCTTCTCCCCTAGGAGTAATGGCGTCCGCAGGACTCAGCCCGCCGGCCGTGGCGGTGCTTGCCCTGGGTGGGTGGGCTCACACGTGACCTGCTGGGTGCCACACGTGTGCCCTGGGCCACCCACCCAGGACAGGCCCTCACCGCCCCTCTCCCCCTGATGCAGCCCAGCGCTCGGCCCAGGAGCTGCCTCTGGTGGAGAAGCAGAGCACAGATAGCTACCCGGTCATGGGCGGAAAGAAGATGGTCCTGTCCGGCCACAACTTCCTGCAGGACTCCAAGGTCATTTTCGTGGAGAAAGCGCCAGGTATGCTCTTCACCAGGGGTCATCTGTGGCCTGGGCTTCAGCGCTGGTGGGAACCGCTCCCGGTCGGTGGAGCAGGACCCACCTGTGCATGGTCACCGGGACAGGGCTTACGGGGTGTGGCACAGAGCAGAGGCTCTGCGTGGCCCGTGGCTGCATCCGGCTGTGAGTTCTTGTGTGAGCTGACAGCTGTGCTGCTGAAGGGAGGAGGTAGATGCTGATTGCTGGGGCCGCCACACACACATCGCCGCTGACACTGAGAGAGCCCGAGGGCTGGGGACGTGCGGAGGAGGGCGAAGGCGTTTGCTGGCTTTGCTGGGGTCCTCGTCTGCAGGAAGTGGACGCTTTGGGGGTCAGTTAGCAGCAGGGCAGGAGGGAGCTCCCCTCTGGGGCCTTCCCCTCCTGCCAGCATTCCTGGGGTCGGAGGCAGGGGTGGTGTGGGTGCCCCAGATGGCGGGGGCTGGGGCGGTCTTTAATGCTACAGCCATGGTGTGTGTGAGGCCCTTGTGCCCCGAGGGCCCGGGTCACCCCTGCCTCTAGGTGTTGTGCTGGCCCAGCCTGGAAGCTCTGGGGCTGACCTCGGAACAGCTGCGGGGGCATCTTCTGAATGATGTTCCTCCTGGGGCCGTCACGCCTGTGGTTCTGTGCTGCCCACAGGAGACGCTGTCCTGCAGGGATAGGGCTCACAAAGTGGCTCCCGGCCCAGCTCAGTTCTCTGCAGATGCTGGGCCCCAGCACTCTCATCCCAGAGCAGGGGCTGGCTGGCTCCGAGAAGAGCCTGTGAACAGTGTGGGCTGCACTGACGGGAGACTGGCGTTGCAGGGAGAGTGAGTACCAGTGTGGCTGGGTGCAGGGACCCTAGCCCAGCCCTCGAGGGGGTTCAGGCAGAGTTGGCCTGGCTCTCCACAAAGCCTGCCATGAGCTCTCTGGTTTTGGGGCTTCCTGGTGCCTTGCTGGGCCTCTGCCCAGGGTGGGCCAGGTGAGGGGCACACCCCTACAAGACCTGTTTTGTGATTTTTTTTTTCTTTTTAACATTTACCAATTGGAATTTTTTTGTACTTACTCTGATCCCCGGAAACCGCGGAGGCATTCAGCCTTGATAATGGGGTCTTGATTTGTACAGTTTGCCGGAAACTTAAGTGCTTCAATCAAAATAGGCTTTAGAGGTCATTCACGTCTAACGTGGCTTTCTGTAGAATCAGGGCATAATTGGAAAACACGTTTTAAATTATAGAGAAAACCAACTAAGGCAGTGACCAGGAAGGCATTTGCATCCCCCGTGCCTTCTCAGGAGGAGGCTAATTTTGAAATAATTTGCCCTTCAGAGCTTTCAGTGTGTGTCCATGCGTTGGCAGAGAAACACTTTGCCCCCAGTGTAGGGAGGCGCTTGGGCCAAGACTGGCCAGAACCATGGCTCCCAGGTTCTGCTTCTCAAAGCCCAGGCCTAAGCAGCCTCCTTGTGGTTTCTTCTGTGCAGAGAGGCCTGGGCACCTTGGCAGAGCCCCCCGCCCCCCGAACGCAGTCAGCAGAGGTGCCCCAGCACCTGCCCTAGCCGAGTTATTGCACTAGCCAAATCGGTGCCACAGTGCCATGGGGAAGGGCAGCCACTGGCCTCCGAGGGCCGGAAGCCAAGGGGATGCGGGACCAGCCCTGGTCTCATGCGGCCGCCCCCACGGGCAGCCCTTCCTGCCTTCGTCATCGCTGTGAGCTGTGCGGTCAGCAGGCCAGAGGTGCTGCCTGTTCTGCCCTTAAGCTCGGCTGCCGCGGCCACACTTCTAGGCAATGCCAGTTTGTCTGCTCATGTCCTTCTCTTGTCCCATGAGGTTAGGGTGGGTCTCTGACCCTCTCCTAGCATCAGCCGGTGTCTGGTATACAGCAGGCGAACCATAAATGAATAGGTGCTGCGCTCAAGAGCACGTGAAGCTGTGAATACTGCAGGGATGAAGCCAGACCACATTTGTGATTTTATTCTTTATAGTTAAATAAGATAATTTGCATATTCATACACAAGCATATCACAGGTTTTCAAAAGCGGAGAACAAACATCCACATGATTTTCTTTCTCTACTTTGGGCTTCTCAGGCGGGAGCCGTCACTTACGACATGAGTTAACGTGCGGTGAGAGGTTGGAGCCGCAAAAGGCCCCACATCCTCATCCTGGCGACGAGTTCCTAGTTGTTTTTGGAGAAACCACTAAACTGAATATAAATTAAAAACACAGTTGCCCTCTCGTCTTCTGATGGGATCGTCTGGTCTTTTTTAAGTTTTATTTTCGACTGCTCTCGCGGATGGAACCAGGGCCGGATGTGAGCTCGGGAGGTTCGTGTCGAGGATCCGTCAGTCGGGCAGATGAAGTGGCTTCTCCAGGAAGGGCCGCTGTGTCTGTCGGCTGTCCTCGTTCTGAGGGTGCGGACGGTTGTAGCTGTTGTGAATGTTGGACACAGGCCGGGGTCGGCTCCGCCCTGTCCTTTTCTGGAGTACATAGGAAGCTCTTTGTCCAGGCTAGCTCAGCCTCTGTGTCTCGGCCAGGCCCCCTTCAGCTGCCGTGGGTTCACAGCACCTCTGAACTTTGAGAAGTGTTGGATGGAGCGGCTGCTCGGCCCTGGAAGGCTGGGAGAAGCTGGTGTTGGGCCCTCCTGAGGAAGGGAATCCCTGCACAGGGCTGCGCTGTGGGGAACCGGCGGGCACGGGCATGGCTCGCCATAGCGTGGGTGCTGGGTCCCTCCGGGATGCTCCAGCTCCAGCAGGCGGGAGTGCGGTGGGTGTTCGGGTCTCAACCTGCACTCCACGGAGCTTCCTCCCCGGTCTCTCAGGGCGGTGCAAAAGGCCGGGGGCAGAATCAGCCTTTCTCTGGGGACTTAGTTTACTGCTTCCTCGGAAAACGACGTTTTCTGATGATGAAAGCCTGTGCGGAATGTTCGTCCGGGAGGCAGGTTGGCTGTGGGGCGCCGAGGGCCGAGTGTCAGCTCAGAAGCCCCTCGTAGCATTACGGGAGCCTTTCAGTTTTCAAGGCTGCAGGGGTTCGGCTGCAGGAAGTGGGAACCACACCCCTTCCTCTCCCACCCGCACCCCTCCCCTCTCCCACCCGCACCCCTGCCCTCCCCACCTTCACACCCGCACCCCTCCCCTCCCCCCCTCCTGTTAAAGATCACCGCTTCTCTTTTCCGACGTGTGAGGTAAGGCACTTCTCTGCACACACGTGAACGTCGAAGCGCCTGAGGGACACATAATGAAACATAAATGAAACGCCCGAAAAACGCCTGCGTGAAACGTGAGTTCAGGCCGTGTCTGGAGCTTGGCTGAGATGAGACAGAAGGCGCAAGTTTCTGAGATTTGGATGCGTCAAACATGAGCCAGTTCTTAATGCTGGAGCTGAACAACCTCCTTTTCTTGAGTCACACGTCTGTTCTGGTGCCGTTTTTCAAAAACATCAGTGAAGCCTGTTTTGGTGTCGTCGCTGTGCAGAAGCCACACTACAATGCCAGGGGTTAAAACACCCGCTCCGTTTGCTGGCGATCGCGCAGCGGGCGGGGCTCAGTACGCGGGGTCGTGCGGGTTGTGTCCGTGGTCGTTTCTGTGGCCGCTGTGACTGGCAGGCCAGCTGGGGCCTGGACTGCCAGCATCTCCAGGTAATTAGGGCCCCTCCACGTGGCCTCCCGGGTCCCCTCTGCGGAGGCAGCCTGGGGCCCCTGGGAAGCAGAGACAGGTTGTGCCAGAGCTCCGAGGCCCAGGCCTGAACCCAGTGCTGTGCCAGCCACCACACCGGGGGCCCTGCCGAGGTTCACAGGGAGACACACAGAAATGTGGGAGTCCGGGGGGCTTGCGTGGTAGGAGCGAGTAGCCAGAGTCCCACAGCTGCCCGGGCCCCTCCCAGAGGCCCCAGCCCAGCACATCTAGAGCCCTCCCCTGAGAAACCCCAGACAGCCAGGTTCTCCCCAAACCCCCAAACCCAACATGGTGGGACCCCAGCTCGCCCCCACCTCACGGCCGCCCCATCCTCTGGCCCTGGACATTACCACATGGAGAAGACAGGCCTGTGGGCAGGCGCTGGCCATACTGCAGGAGACACAGGCCGGGTTTCCAGATTTCTCCACACAGCGGCAGGCAGAGGTTCTGCCTCCCACCTCACTGGGAGGGTCAGGACTCCAAATGTGGGCCAAATGTATGTTGTTATTTTTTAAATAAAGGGACCAAAGGTCCGGGCCTTTCCGAGGCTGCCCTGCCTTGGGACCATGACCAGCATGGTTCCCGGGTCTTCCACAAGCTCTGACAGGCACCTGGCCATTGTTTTCAGAGGCTCCACCCAGCAGCCACCAAGCTCAGCTGGCAGCTGGCAGGACACTTGCAAGGACACAGAGCTGTCACAGAACCACCGTGGCCTTGGCAGCTGCTGGTCCTACGCCAGGACACACACGTTCACCACGGCGAGTGGGGGGTGCACGTCCCCAGGCAGAGGCCATGTCATCCAGGTGCAGGAAGCGCCAGGCAAGGACCCTCCTGTCTGCCCAGGGAGCCGGGTCAGAGGAGTCCCCAGGCCTGAAGCCACTCCCTCCGGGCTCACCTTCAGGTCCCTTCAAGGCCAGGGGGTGGTTCACCCACCCCGGGGTGTCACGGAAGCCTTGAGGCCCCTGCAGGCCCCCATTTCCCCAGAGGGGCATCCGTGTCCGCTGGCCACCCTGCCTGCCCCCCCCACCTTCAGCCACCCCTGCTCCTCGGTTTCCTGGGGTCTGGTTCTTTCTTGCAGGCGGGAAGGAGGTGAGGGCCAGGGCCCCCATACGGCAGACCTAGTGGCACTACCCCTTTAGGCCTTGCTGTCCCTCCTCTGTCCGTCGTGGAAGGTCTTGGCCTGGGGCAGAGGAGCAGGCCGAGGTGGGAGGTGGAGTCCAGGCAGGTCTGTGGCCTATCTGTTTTAGTTGTGCGGGGTGTAGGCTGAGGGAGATGGACCCGGGGGATGGCTGCCTCCATGGCATCTATCTCCATGGCATGTCCTCTGACGGGGCTGGATGAGCAAGGAGTCCCCAGCTCCAGCGTCTGCGGCGTGGGCAGTCCCCGTACAGAGCAGCTCAGCCGTTGCCTCCTGAAGATGTTGGATGCCAGCCCCGGAGGCAGCATCATAATGACAAAATCTTCAGAGGTGTCTGGTCCAACAGTTTAAAGGCCAAATGCAGATCTTCCAGATTTGTGTTTTCAGGGAAGAGGTGACCCTGCTGGGTGCCTGTGAGTGTGGGCAGACGTCACTGCCACTGCTGGCTCCAAGAGCAGAGCTGGGGCCGCTTCATCACCGCACAGCATCTTTGGGAGGAGGGCAAGTGGCCGGGCTGACCCCTGGGCTTCTCTGTGTGCTCCCAGAGACCACACAGGGAAGGCACGGAGGGCAGCACCCTGGGAGGAGACATCTGCCCGTCTCTTCTTCATGCCCTGAGGACGGCTCAGTGGCCTGAGATGGCCCAGGACCCCTCGAATTGAGTGACAACCCACGGTTCTCGTCAAGCCGCATTCTGAATAGCGTTAGGAGGACTCTCAGATGCCCCCTGCCTGGGCCCTGCTGGTGTGGGGAGGCCACGCATCGTGTCAGTTCCCACTACAGGAGGGCGGGGCCGGGCTTCTGGCTGCTCTCCCTCCTCTTCCTCCTCGGGCCTTTTGGGATCACACGTGACCATATCACCCGTGATCATGTTGCCTAATTTCTTTATCAGCTTTATCGAGATGTGATCTATACACCATTTAATTCACCCAAAGTGTGTAATTCAGCGGGTTTTGGTAGCTTCACAGAATTACGCAGCTACCACCAATTTCAGAACATTTTCTTGTCCCCAGAAAGAAACCTTTGCTCGTGAGCGGCCACCCCTGCTCTCCCTTCCCCACCCCTGCTCTCCCTTCCCCACCCCCAGCCCCTACTACCCCAGAGCCCCCTCGCTTGGCCTTGCCTGGTCTGGCTGCTCCCTGCTGGGGAACCCCAACCTGCTGGCTGCAGTGTCTGGCAGCTTCCATGGAGGGTGTCATCCTCCGTGTTCCCTCGTTGGCGCGGGCCAGGGCGTGGGGTCCTCGGGTCCCCTCGTTGGTGCGGATCGGGACGTGGGTCTTTCTGTGGCTGAGGGAAGCCCACCATGTGGCTGCCATACCCATCTGCCGATGGTGCTGGGCCACGTCCACCCTGTGGAGATGATCGTGGAAAAGCCGCTGTGAACCTCAGTGCGTGAGTCCCGTGTGGACGCCTGCCTGTCGCCTGAGCACATGCCTCGGCGTGAAAGGGCTGTGGGTCACAGGGTGGCTCCGTGTGAGGCCCTGCAGGCCGATGTGCAGTGCGGCCGCATGGCTGTTTGCTCTCCAGAATCTCCTCTGGGAGCCAGGCTGGGACAGACTCCTGAGGGAGAGTCCCGGATGGATGACAGATGCCCTGGGGACGCTTGCTTCTGGGCGTGAGGACGCCACGGGGAGCAGGGCAGGAGGACGCCACAGGGAGCGGGGCAGGAGAACGCCACGGGGTGCAGGACTCGAGGGCGCCGTGGGACCCAGGGACGCTGCTTCCACCGGTGGCCCTTGTGGCTTTCTCTGTGGAAACAGTGGCTCAGCGTCAGCGCCAGCGTGGGGGTGGCCCGGCTCCAGACGGCGGGTCCTGGCGGGTCTGGGAGGCTCCTGGGCCCGCAGGCCTGCCTGTGTGGAAACCTCGCGGGTGTGGCAGGGAAGCCTCCCGATGACTCAGACTGCAGGGAATTCCCTAATGATCTGGAATATTTTTACTCCTGCACTCAGGCAGTTTTCTACTGAGGACTCGGAGCTCTGATAAGGCTGAACACAAAGGCCCTTTCAGGACCGGCTGCCTTCCTTCCTGCCAGGGGCTGGGTTTTGAACAGCGCGGGGGCCGGCCCTGCCCGCCTGGGCCTCCACGGAGCCAGGAGCCTCCATGGCAATGCTCTCGCCAGCAGGACGCGGCCCTGCGTCTCCTTTCCTGAGATGCGAGGTTATTTGCATCTTTCGGCAGCCTCAGTGCTTTGTCTTGTTCTGGAAGCAATTGCTAGAGACATTTCTGGCCGTGAATATATATTGCCTTGGAAAGAGTTACTTTATGAGCCTTGAGCAGAAACAGAAAGCCTGCCCTCATCCTCACCCTGGTCGACGGTGAAACAGCCACAGACGTCGGAGACCACGGGGAGAGGCCCTGCCTCCGAGGGGGAAGGCCACAGGCACTGGCTCAGCCAGGGTCTTTGAGGACAGCAGGGATGTTTGTCGGTTCCCTACACTTTCAGGGGAAGTCTAAGCATATCTACTCCCACCTGCGCAGGGATTGCTGGGCGGGCGCTCCCAGGTGTGTGGTGGAGGCTGCTCCGTGGCAGGTGCTGAGCTGGGCCTGGCTGGCCACGCAGACGTGGCTCCCCTTGGGGCTGCTCCAGCAAGGCTGGTTCCCCACAGGCCCATGAGGCACTGGAGGAAAAAGACACCTTCATGCCGTCGTTCCATTTGCTTTTCATGGACTCACTGCTGTGGGGCAGCCGCCTGAAGGAGGCCATGGGGAGACGGCTGGAGTCCCTCTCCCTTCTCGGGACATAAAGAGAGGAACAGGCTGTGTTGCCTCGGCTGCAAAAATGGCGTCTCCTTGGGGTGTCATTAAACGCAGCGTCCTGGCCCTGTGCGCCTCAGTGTCCCTCCTGCTCAGCACCATCAACCTCCCTCCCCTTCCTGGCGCCAAAGGCCTCCACGGCCTCAGGGAAATTCCTGGGGAAGCTGAAGCTGTGACTCTGAGCTTCTGGGCTGGGCAGAGAGCAAACCATAGCCTGTGGTGCCCCGGAGCTTCAGAGGACCACAGTCTTTTGTGGGGTGCAGACGGGGCTTCACCCCAAAGATGGGCTTTGTCATAAGAAAACTCCAAAAGGCGTTTTTAAAAGGTGCCAAACAGCCCGAAGACTTAGCTACACACAGAGTGATTTCGATTGTTATGAAGTGGGGGTGGAGGGGCTTCTGAGCCGCCGGGTGCATCTGGGCTGGGGGCTTCTGGGAATCCGCCGTCACCAGCACCTGTGCTGGGGTGAAAACGCCTCTTTCTTTCCAGCTCCTTGCTGCTTCGTGAAACTCAGATGCCTTCAAACGCAACTGAGTGTATGTTTTAGTTCCCTGTTATTTTTTTCCCAGAGGAGAGATGGATGCCAGGCTCTGTCGAGTGGGCTCATCTGGTGGGTGATTTGCGTGGGGACCTCGGGCGTCCCGGGCTGGCGTGGCCGGGGCTCGGCTGGGCGGCTCTGGGGTCCTGTGTGACTCACATTTCCTCTCTCCACCCTCCACGCAGACAGCAGCCCGGCACTGTAACAGAGAAAAAGGAGATTTTGTCTGATTTGTCAGTAATTGAGGGTTTGTAACAGACACGTTTTCTTCTTTGGAGAGAGAGCATAAGGATAAACTTAAGTGTGTATACCTGTAACTGTTCATTTTGGGAGCGGACTTTATTTTGGAGAAGATAAAAGAGAGGAAGAGACTGTGGGAGACTGACATCTGTTAGTTTGAGATAATTGCCCCAAACTCAGCCCATCTGAGGGGCCAGGCTGTGGTGCGGCCACCTTTGTCCGTGCGCGCCTGGAGTCCCCACTCTGCCGGGCGTGGAGCAGAGAGAACAACGCGTCCTTTCACTGCACCTCTGGGAGCCTTTTCATTTTTTAAAAACATGCAAATGGCCACTGGGGAAAGGCTAAAAATACCTGTGTTTTGCATTTCTGTCTCCTGACGGGCAAGAAGTTGTCAGAGGAAGGCTCTTCGCATTTACCCAGTGGTTCCTTTGCACAGAGGCAGGGCCAGCGGCCAGGCCCTCTTCCACCAGCGTAGACCCCAGCACGAGCAGGCATCGCACCCTGGCGTGGAGCCCCCGGCCCCTGTCGGCCCCCCTGTCGCCACTCTCACACCTCCTGCATCCCTGGAGGCTGGGCCAGGGACTGCAGAGCCGGGCCTCAGGTCCACGCACAGATGCCCTGCACGCGCTCTGATGATGGGGTACCTGCTCCCCCTCACACCTGCTCTCCCTGGAGAGGACGGGGGCATAGAAACCCTCCCGTGACCTGTCCTGAGGCTGTGAGAGGCCAGCAGATGCAGGGCCAGGACAGATTCCTGAGGATGCCCCTGCCCTGTAGTCCTTCCCACCCAGGGCTGGGGTCAGAACAAGCCCTGAGCCACATGTCCTCAGCTTCCCCAGGCTTCCAGGGGAACTCTGGCGTTGAGCTTGGGGCCCTGCCTGGGCACATGGGTCCTGAGGCGCTGCCCTCAACAAAAGCCCTGGGATGGGCCTACGTGGGTCTCCCGGGGTCTCTCTCCGGGCTCAGGGCCCTGGGTCTGGATCACATGGGGGCTTCGGGGAGGGGGCTCCCCGCCAGACAAAGTCACAGACGTTTCCTGCTCCTTTCTTCCAGATGGCCACCACGTCTGGGAGATGGAAGCGAAAACCGATCGTGACCTATGCAAGCCGGTGAGTGCCTTTGGCGCAGCTGGAGCCACTGCGGGTCCCCAGGGCTTGGGAGGCTGGGGTCTGCTGGAGCCACTGTGGGTCCCCAGGGCCTCAGGAAGGTGGGGTTCCTGTTTGTTAAAATGAAACAAATAAAAATAATGCATAGAGTAACAGAACCAGTAACAAACAGAATCGCCAAGTACTTGCCGAAGCACCATGTACTGCACCCAACCTGTCAGGGTCAGGTCAGAGCCGTGGCGGCTGGGGACGGTGCCGGGCAGGCCAAGGGCTGCCTCCCACATCCTGGTGCTGAGACAGCCCAGGGAAGGTCATCTCACACGGACCCTCCCGCCCTTTGCTGTCACCGTCACCTGGCACAGGGCAGGCCCCTGGGAGTCGGTGTTGTGCTGAGTTCCCGGGGCGTGGCCAGCACCTGCCCAGACCCAGAGCACCGAGGGCAGGGCTCTGCAGCATCCCCATGGGGACTTCTCACCCCATCCTCTGAGGCCGCCGATCGCACCAACCTCTCCTGTGATGGTGACTCAGGCACAAAAGCCTGGGCGTGGCTCCCGGACTCGCGACTGGCCACAGCCTGTTAGCGGGTGGTGCACGTGTATGGGGCCGTGGCAGACGCATGGCCGGGTCACGCTTCTGCTGTCACCGGGCCGTTTCCAGCACCCCTAGTCACCTGCCACAGCTTCCCTGGCACCATGTGCATGTGGTGGGTGCCTGAGGAGAATGACCGTCCTCAGATTGGCTAGTCATGGAGATGACCTTTTGTCTGGACGGTTGTCGCTGCTCCCACATCTCCCATGAGGTGCTGGCTGCTGCGTGTGTCTCTCATAATCCAAGTGTTCATGTTTAAAGTGGTTTCTTGGAGGCAACGTCTTCTTGGTGGTGTCTTGGATCCTCTCTGATGCTGTCTTGTAATTGGCACATGTAGACCATTGATGTTTCATTGTTTGTTTTTGTTTTGTGAAACGGAGTTTCGCTCTTGTTGCCCAGGCTGGAGTGCAGTGGCGTGATCTCGGCTCACTGCAACCTCCACCTCCCGGGTTCAAGCGATTCTCCTGCCTCAGCCTCCCACGTAGCTGGGATTACAGGCGTGCACCACCACACCTGGCTAATTTTGTATTTTTAGTAGAGACGGGGTTTCTCCATGTTGGTCAGGCAGGTCTCGAACTCCCAACCTCAGGTGATCCACCTGCCTCGGCCTCACAAAGTGCTGGGATTACAGGCGTGAGCCACTGTGCCCGACCTGATGTTTACTTATTATTGATACAGTTGGATTGATCCCTACACTGGATTCTTTGAGTGTTCTATTTAGTCGTATAAAAGCAGTAGAAATCTTTAGGCCAACATAAGATACCACATGGCTCACAAGGGGGTTTTGAAGACATGAACGTGCTTCCAAGCTCAGCAATGTGTGTCCCTAGGGGTCGGGGAAGTCTTGTGCACCCACTCAGTGTGTGCAGGTGGAAGCTGATCCGTTCAGAAACCTCAGGGAAGAGCTGATCTCGGGCAGCTGGAGGCAGGTGGACAGGACACCGGGGAGGGGCCTTCAGGCGGCTAGAGGCAGGTGGACAGGACACCGGGGAGGGGTCTTGAGGTCATCTCCTGTTGGTGGGTCGGTGGCCTCCATGGAGAGCGGTGCTGGCACCTTCACTCCCTGTCCCGAGAGGCAGCTCTGTCAGAAAGCCGCGTCTTCCACCCTGCGACTTCAGCGCCCTTCCCCCGAGGGCCCATCCCCTTCCCAGAACCCTTTCCAAGTGGTTATCAGATAGAAAAGGTTCCTCTCTGGCCCTGGGTGAAGGGAGCTCACCTGCAGCTTTAGTGGTGCTCAGGCCTCCCCTGAAGCTTAGGGCTCTGGTTCAATGCTGTCGCTTTTCTTGCCTTCACCTGAGAAGCCCCTCGAGGAAAGCTGGAGGCCCCAGGGCAGGCAGGCGTTCAGAGGAAGGAGTCTCGGCCTACCCTGCAGCCAGTGGGTCAGGGTGCTCAGAAGCATCCTGGGAATGGCCGGCCACAGGCAGAAGCAGCCTGAGCTGCTGTACCAGCCTCGCCTCCCCACAGCCCATTCCCGTGTCCGTACTGGCCTCCTTACCACAGCCCGTTGCCGTGTCCATACCGGCCTCTCCTGCCCACAGCCATTTCCTGTGCCCAGAAGGTCTGTGGCTCCCCGCTGGCCGGGGGTTTGCAGCTGCCCAGGGGGCTGGCAGCCTCTGCTCACGGGGTCGTCGCCGGGCCTCCCCGCCCACCAGGTGTCTGGTTCATTCCTCCCACTGAGCTGCCCTTGCTCTGCTCTGCGTCTGTGCTGGGTACACTGACCTCCTGGCTCTCCGTCCCTCTGCCTGTGGGCATCGTAGCCTGGTGCCTGGCCTCATGCTGCCCACCCTCCCTGGCCCTGGCTCTGTCAGGGTCTCCACAGGCTTCGCCAGCCCCGCACATGCACGTGGGATGCGGGACACAGGATGTGGGACACAGGACGCTGGAACCGGCCTGCCCTGTCCCCCTTGGCAGGGAGAGCAGTCTGGAGGAGCTGTGAGCCTTTCCGCATTGAAAACAATCCCAGCCAAGCCGACATCCACATTCTCTGTGATTTTCTGTTTTACTTTTGACACCAGCATATTTCGAAGAAAGCTTAACAGTTGTATGTTTTAAAAGAAATTTAAGAGCCCATGTGAAAAATTATGTACTTCATGTTTACTGGTTTTTTTTTTTTTTTTTTTTTTGAGACAGTCTCGCTCTGTCACCTAGATTGGAGTGCGGTGGTTCCATCTCGGCTCATTGCAGCCTCTGCCTCCCGGGTTCCAGTGATTCTCGTGCCTCAGTCTCCCAAGTAGCTAGGACTACAGGCGCCAGCCACCATGCCTGGCTAATGTTTTTGTATTTTTTTCAGTAGAGACAGGGTTTCACCATGTTGTCCAGCCTGATCTTGAACTCCTGACCTCAAGTGATCCACCTGCCTCGGCCTCCTAAAGTGCTGGGATTACAGGCATGAGCCACCACACCTGGCCTCCTGTTTCATTTTTAATTTGTTAAATGGAGTTTGCTTTAATATATATTTTTTCTCATCATAAAGGAACTTCATACTCATCGTGGACATTTGGACAATATAAAAAAGGAAATAAAACCTAGTGTAGTCTCATCAACTTAGACATAACCACTGCTGGCATTGGGCATGCGTCCTGTTCCATTTGCTGCTTTGTGTATAGATGTTCATGCAGACACACACACATTACATACATTATATTGTGTACATACGTGTTTCTGTGTGTGTGTGTGTATTTTTTTTTTTTTTTTTGGAGACAGGGTCTTGCTCTGTCATCCAAGCTGGAGTACAGTGACTTGATCACAGCTCACTGCAGCCTCGACCTCCCGTGCTGAAGCAATTCTTATGCCTCAGCCTCACCAGTAGCTGGGAACACAGGTGTGCCCTATCCTGCTCAGCTAATTTTTAAACTTTTGTAGAGATGGGGCCTCGGAGTGTTGCCCGGGCTGGTCCTGAACTCCTGGGCTCAAGCAATCCTCCCGCCTGGGCCTCCCAAAGTGCTGGGATGACAGGTGTGAGCCACCGTGCTGCCTGTGTGTAAACAAAATAGGATGTGCTGTGTCTATGGTTTTTGTACTTTCTATAAGTAAGTGTATGAGCCTCATCTCAACAGTGGAGTTTTAAAGCAGGTTGCGTGGGTGGTGGTGCCGTGTGGAGCCTGTATTTTTTCCGGTACGGACGAGTTTCCCTCTCCTTTCCTGCTCTTCCGTGTTGCTTCTTTATCGCTTCCTTCTCTGTGTATTTAAGTGGCAGCTCCCACGGAGATAGTATTTTTGTCATATAATTTGTCTATTTAGAGAGATGAAGTGGGTTGGCCTGTGCCCACATCAACACAGGCCCTTCCAGTCAGGTAGGACCTAGGAAAACTGGTATGCACCATCCAGCCTGCCCCACAGGGTCCCGCCTCCGCCCATCCAACCCGCCTCATGGGGTCCCCGCCTCCACCCCAGCCTAGCCCACAGGTTCCCGCCTCCGCCCATCCAGCCTGGCCCACGGGGTCCCCGCCTCCGCCCATCCAGCCTGGCCCACGGGTCCCCGCCTCCGCCCATCCAGCCTGGCCCACGGGGTCCCCGCCTCCGCCCATCCAGCCTGGCCCACGGGGTCCCCACCTCCGCCCATCCAGCCTGGCCCACGGGGTCCCCGCCTCCGCTCATCCAGCCTGGCCCACGGGGTCCCCGCCTCCGCCCATCCAGCCTGGCCCACGGGGTCCCCGCCTCCGCCCATCCAGCCTGGCCCACGGGGTCCCCGCCTCCGCTCATCCAGCCTGGCCCACGAGGTCCTCACCTCCACCCCAGCCTGTCCCATGGGGTCCCCGCCTCCACTCCTCTCGCCACTGCCTCTGAGCGCTTCCCGGCCCGTTTTTATTTCAGTCTCGTGAGAGGTTTCCTTCTTGTCTCTTCCCTCAGCTGCTTCTGCTCTAAAGACCCTCCTGCTGTAGCAGCTGCCCTGAGCGCTGCTGAATTCAGAAAACAGCCCTGGAGGAAGCGTCTCTTTATCCCCCATACAAACGCCAAGACAGGCTCCGGGCGGCCAGAGCTTCCCAGGTCAGCCTAGGAAATGGCCAGGCCAGGCGAAGCCCAGACCCACAGTGCTCTGGGGGCAGCCCAGGCTCCGTGGGCATTGACAGAACTTGCGGTCCTTCCAGCGTCAGCTTCAGCTCTCCTGGGGCAGCTCTGATGAGGGGCAAAGGCAGGAAGACGCCCATGTCCCGTGGCTTCTGCTTCTTCCCAATGAACTCCAGTTAATTAAACAACACAGTCCTGCTGCCAGGAGAAAGCGTGGCCCCAAGGCACAGGGCCCTGGGGGGGGGGGGGGCACAGGTGGGCATGGCCCCTCTGCATCGGTGTCTGGGCCTCAGCTCTTTCATTATTTGTAAATGAGAGAACCTGGACCTGAAGTTATCTTCAGTTTTCTGTCTTTAACACTCACGAGATTTTGTTAACATGATTCAATCAATTTAGCTATTAAGCTAGGTGCTGTGCTATAATTAATTATTTTAACAAAAGAAGTAATACAATGGATTTTTCTCCTGGTTGTTAAACTAAGTCATATGATTATAAAAATTAAACTTTATAGACGCGACTCACACCAAGCCTCTCCCCAGATACCAAGTGTCGCCCTCAGCAGGGATGCCCGCATCACCCCAGTCATTTAGGGTCATTAGAGCCCCGAGTAACGCTGGGGCCTGAGCAAGCGGTCGGGATATCTGTGTCCCAGTCCCGCACCCAGCCCCGACCTCTGCGAACAGCGCCACACCCCATGGCTTGCGTTTCGTGTGTGTACTTGAGAGAGCATGAGTTTTGTAAACGTGCTGCTGACTCATATTAAAAACATGAAATGGTAACGGCAGCCTCCACATGCCGTCCTCTGCTGTCTGTGCCTCCGTGCCCTTGGCTGTTCCCACCCCGGGGTCTGCGGGGGTCAGGGTCCACCTCCTCTTCCTCAGTTGGAGTGAATTTGGGGTCTGGTTGAGGGCCTCGGCCGTCATCAAATGTGACAAACACAGGCGCCCCCCTGAGACGCATGTCCAGGATGCACCTGCTCCTCCGGGGTTCACTGCAGTCGTCTGAGCGGCGCTGGGCCACCAACCACTTCTGTCACACAGCGGCCAGCGATGGGGCCTTGGGTCGTTTTCTGAAGGTCACCAACCCTTTGGCATCGGAGTAGGCAGAGCCTTTTGCATCCCCACCAGGCCCGTTGCCCAGGTGGCCCCGGGCAACCTCCACCCTCAGGCACCTCAGGTCCCAGTTCTGTTCACAGCTTCTCTTTTCCTGGCTTCTTTCCCTCTATTGACAAGATTTCAGTCTTGAGGTTGGTCCTGTTTGCTCCACTGCTCTGAGGAAGCCTCTCGGCTCCTAGGTGTGCAAGAAGCCAAGGGCATCCCTTCCCTGTGAGTGTCCACACACAAGTGCAGGTGGCACAGAGCGTCCGGGGCTGTCGTCGGCTGCTTCTGGATGCCCAGGTGGCCAGTCAGGAGTTTACCGTCACAGCGTCCCGCGCCGCCATGGAAACGCAGGGTTGCCGTGTGGCCGCTGTGGCGCGGCAGCCGTCGCCTGCCGGGTGCTAATTGTGCCTCCTGTGTGCCCTTCTCCTCTAGAATTCTCTGGTGGTTGAGATCCCGCCGTTTCGGAATCAGAGGATAACCAGCCCTGTTCACGTCAGTTTCTACGTCTGCAACGGGAAGAGAAAGCGAAGCCAGTACCAGCGTTTCACCTACCTTCCCGCCAACGGTAACGCCATCTTTCTAACCTTAAGCAGTGAAAATGAGCGCGTGGGGTGCTTTTTCTAAAGACGCAGAAACGACGTCGCCGTAAAGCAGCATGGCGTGTTGCACGTTTAACTGTGTGATGTCCCGTTAGTGACGCTGAGTCATCGATTCCCTGAGAAGGAAAGGAAAAGGGAAGCTTTTTTCGGATGCATTTTCCTTGGTCCCTGTTGGGGTTTGGTCGGGGGGTTGCATACTCAGATAGTCACGGTTATTCTGCTTCTTGCGAATGTATAACAGCCCAGGGGAAAACATGGCTCTTCTGCTCCAAAAAACTGAGGGGGTCCTGGTGTGCATTTGCATCCTAAAGCTGCTTCAGGTGAGAAGGCAAATAGGTACAGCTATTTTGCAGGCAACTTTAGGAATAAACTTTGCTTTTAAGCATATAGTCCTGATGTGGTCTTTAAGGATGGTGAATGAGCTTTGTGCTGGGCGGACGTCCCCAACACACTTCTGCAAGGGTAATTTCATCTCCTGGGACCATGGGCATCCACGCTGGGGCACCTTCTCCTCAACCTGCCTGTCCCTTAACCGCCGTGGGAATGGCTCCTTTTCACTAAAAAAAAAAAAAAAATCAGCTTCTGTTTTTAACCTTTAGGGTGTTTTCTTAAAGAAAATACCATTGAGTTTGTTTTTTCAGTCCCTGAACCAGTAGAAGAGAAGGGTGTCCCCCACGCCATCCCGGGCTTCCTTTGTGGGTACAGGCCACACCCCCCAGCTCGGAGAAGACAGAGTTAGCTGTCATCCTGAGTTTTACTGTATTTTGGGTAAGCCTAGCTAACATCAACAATCTTTTTATATCGCTTTTTTTCTAAAAACTGCAGAGATTCCTATCCTCAAGAGGGAAATTACACACTGCAAACTGATTGCAAAAGCAGCCGCGTTTTCTTAGCAAAATCGAGGTGTTTTGAAGGTTTCCATTTTCTCTGAACGTAAACAGCATTTGTAATAGACCAGATTCTAAGAAAGCCCTTGAATCCCCACGTTCACACTGAACTGTTGGGACTCCCCGTTTTGTCAGGCAAGCTCTAGAAACGCCTCTCAACAGGTGGAAAATGGGGTTTCGCTGTAAAGTCGCTGTCCCCTGAGAGTGTCTGTGAGACAAGCTGTAGCGGGGACGGGCAGCCCCCAGCCCAGCCCTCGCGGGGAAGAGCCTCACAGTCTGGGAGCCCCTGGGATTGTGGGGAAGAGCCTCACGTTCTGGGACCCCCCTCGGGTTTACATGATCTGTGCCACCCACACTTGGTGAGCCCGACCCGTTCTTGGAACAAAGTACAATATATCTTACGGAAGAAAATATTTCATCTTTTTCTGAAAATATAATGATTGTGTCCTAATTAAACTTCAAGCGTGGTTGACCAGAAATTGAATGTTTTAAAGAAAACCTAGGCCTTACAGAGAAGGACTGCTTTCCAGAGCAGTGCATTAATTTTTTTCTTATTTGCTCGGCACCCGGCAGTCCCCACCGTGGGTTTGAGCAGCACCGAGTTTAGCACAGATCACGCGTCTCAGAGGCAGAAGAAGGGGTGTGTGGGGAGCATGCCTGCCCTTCACAGGCGGGAGGTGGAGGCCCCCAGGACCATGGCCACAGCATGAAGCCGGTGGGGTTGAGCCGCTCCTGCTACCTCCTGTCCACACCCCACCTGGCAGCCGGCCGTCCTGTCCTACCAGCCGCGCTTCTGCCTCGGTCAGCCTCAGCTCCCCTCTCAGCTCCGTGCCCGGCGTGGACGTCTCTCCTGGACCCCCGCCCAGTGTCCCGGCTGCACCCTCCACCCACCATCTGCCCCAGCATGGCTCAACACAGGCCAGGTTCCCCAGGCTCGCCCTGGGCACCAGCCTTCGCCCGTCCTCCCTCTCTTTGCCTCTGTCGTCTCTCCTCTCCTGGACGTAGCGCCATAGTCCCTGGGTGACCATCCCAGGCCCCCACGAGTACACTGACCAGGCCTCCAGGGACTCCCCGGCTCCCTGTCACCCCACCTGGTCCTGAGGGCTATGACCACAACTTGCACCAGACTGTGAGCCCCTCAGGCAGAGCCCCCAGGCTGCCGCAGGGCGAGATCCCCGGTGTTGACACTGTGCCTACCTCGAGGCCACTGTCATTGTGGTTCTTAAATAAATAAACGAATGAATGGAAACCAGCACCCACGTATCCGTGTTCCGTCCGGCGTCCCCGCTGCACCTCCTGCCCCTGCAACCCCGGCTGGGTCTGAGGACGCCAAGGCCACTCCAGGACCTTCATCCTCCGTGCTGTGCATCTGTGTCTTGGGGTCCAGCTCGGATGGCTTCTTCCACGGGGTCTGAGAGATAGTTGCCAGCTCTGCTTCCGCAAGACCTGGAGTGGAGGCAGGACGGGTGGGTGTGGGTGGAGGACAGCAGGTTAGCAAGCCGCGGCCAGACTCAAAGCTTCTCTTGGTTTACTTTTTCCCTTTTCCACACTGTTGTGTGGGGGGTTGTTCGCATTCTAGGTTTCCACTGTGCCAGTGAGCTTCGGGTCTGTGCGCCCGGGGGTCACGGCGGTGAGGGGCAGACTCTTGGGGTCGTGAAATGTGCTGTTGAAATGCACAAGATGACAAAAATGAACCCACTTAAACTCCAGCTGTGGAATTCCTTTCATGTACACATTTGTAAAATCAAGTCTCATTTTAGGTTTTCCTTCAAAATTGCCATCCCCACAGGCAGGACAGGGAGGCAGCGCGGGGAGGCTGCACGGGGGGAGGTGGCGCAGGGAGGCGGCCCAGGGAGGCCGTGACCTGGCGTCTCTCCTTTCAAGTCAGAAGGTCTCAGCGGTCAGCCTTCGGGAATCACGCATCTGAGTGCAGAGGGCCCCGGGCTCAGGTGGGGCTGAGCCTTTGGTTGATGGTCTGTGATGGGGCCCAGAGGGAGAGTTCTCTTCACCCTCCCTAGCGGGACCAGGCGTTAAATGGGGAAGAGTTCCCACCAGAATGTATCAGTTCCATGAACGGAGCGGGCACAGACCTCGAGGAGTCCTGCCGGCCGCCCCTCCTGACATCCCAGGGTGCTGCCCGGTGAGCAAAGTGAAGAGGTCGTCTGCAATTAAAGAGGCTGGAACACACGCGCCCACAGAGAGGCTTCCTGAGCAGCTTGTCTGTCACTGTTTTTGTTTAACTGCGGCCTGAATGTAATCCCCCGGAAGGCTTGTTAGGAGGGCTGAGGGATGATCTGCTACCAGGAAGCTTCGCAGTTCCAAGAGGTGATTCCAAAATGTCAGCATTGTAGGTGGAGAGAGGCGAGCCCGGAACATGGGGACCCTGCCCAGGTCTGGTTAGAAGGCGGCGTCCGCGTGGCCTGAAGCTTGCGTGAGGGGTGCACTTACACCCCCAGATAGGAGCAGGCAGTGTGGGGCCACGGGCACTTTGGAGAAAGAAAACCAAGTTACAAACTCCAAATTACCTGCCAAAGTCAGTATTTTTTTAAACAAGAAAATAAAACATGACAAATCACCGGGCCTTGTCAGGTCTTTTTGTCTGAAGTCGTTTTAGTCGGTTACCTGGAAATGCTTCCAGGGCCCCAGGGCTGGGGACATGGAGCTCTTCCCCCAGCAGTGCCGAGGAGAAGCTGCTCCCAGCCCCAGGTCCCCGTGGGAACACACAGCCAGCCCTGCCTCTGTGGGGGTCCCTTTGGTGGCCAGAGCCCCCTTCCTCGGGATACGCGGTCCAGCTGAGGGTCATCCGGTGACAGGGAGTGGCTGCTGTGATAATCCAGGCTCAGAAACAGCTTTGACCACAGAACGCGATGTCCGGGGTGCGAGGGCGTCGGGACGGATCTGCCTCGGGATCTGGGGGTCTCTCACGGGGGATGGGCATGGGCCCCAAGACCAGACAGGAGCCAGCTGGAGACTCAAATGTCACGAAGAACGGTAGATGCGCTTCCCGCCCCCGTTACTCACCAGCCGCTCTGCTGGCCCTGCCACGATGACCTAGGCCTGAGAATCTTTCTGCCTCAAGGGGTAGAAAGGGGAATAGATTCCATTACTTCCCTGTTTGCAATGGATTATTAAATCTAGCAATAGCTGTGGCATTGGCGAGGTGTTGGTACAAAGGGAGCCGGGGTCCTGTGGCCTTGGGTCCACCCCAGTGAAAGTCATTGGAGGGAGCTGCTCAGGGAGTGAGCCATGGGGTGGGGGAGGCTGTGAAACTGAGGTCCCCGTGCACAGAGCGCACCACCCAGGGTCAACAGCTGGGGGCGTGTCTCCGCTGGCACTTCCCAGGCCACAGAACCGGCCCCTCTAGGAAGCCTCCTCCAGATGGCGTGGCCCAGGCCCTCAGTAAGCTCAGCTGGGGCTGCGTGAGCTGAGGGGCTCAGAGCACCCTGCAAGGGATCCTCCTGGTTGCAGACAAGCAGTCCTGGGCCACCGCCCGACCTCCACGCCCTCCTGCTCAGCCCAGCAGCCTCCCCTTCCCAGGGTTTTCCCATTCTGCCTTTTCCCTGGACTTCCCGACTCACTTTGTCCAAGTCCACTGCACGTAAAGCTTGATCCTGAGACAGTGAAGTTCGTGAGGTCTCTGCAGATGCTCAGCGGCCCCAAATCGCGCTTTCGTTGCCACTGGCCAACAGCACAGCCTGGGTGGGCCTTGAACACCTGTGGCCTCTTCCTCTCCCCTCCCCTCACTTGTAGGCACCCTGGGGCTGGGCCTGAGCTCGGCTCTCACTGCAAAGTGAACCTGCCCATTTCAGACACCCAGGCATGGCTCCCATGTTCCCTCATCTGATCCCGCCATCATGGCAGCTGCCTCCCAGCTCCTGACAACGTCAGGTCAGCCCTGGCCTCGCGGTGCTCTGGGTTTCAGCCTTGAGATGCTTTCCGTGTGTCGGCTGTGGGCGCCTTGATGCACCAGGGCCTGGTCGCAGGTTCTTAAAGCAGAGATTCTGCTGGCACCCCTTGTGCGCCCTCCAAGGGCCTAAAACGCAGACGACCCACACTCCGTGCCCCGTCCTGCGCAGGAACCAGGGTGGCCTCCCCTTTCTGCAGCTTGTAGGGGTCAAGCCGGGCCCCCCACACTGATGTTTCAGCCCAGCTCTGCCCCAGCTTCGAAGTCCTACCTGATTTCAAACAGAGCAGATGATACTGACATTTCCAGCCCGCGGTGTGGCCTGCGCCGCGCTCCAGGTGGCCACGGGGCGAGGAGTCTGGGAGCCCAGCTGCCGAGTGTGTCTGTGGCGGGAGCTGAGCTGGCCCCACCTGTGACAGTGGCCTGTGGGCTCCTCATCCCTGTTCTACTGAGAGCCCCACAACCACCCCAGGGAGGGAGGCAGCTTTTATTAAATTTCAGTTTTGTCAGTTGCCTCACTCTTCAGACAGCGAGTGAGGGAGGGGTGTTCTGATGCTCACTGTTGATGCCGTAAACCTGAGGGAAGGGAATTCTGTCACATGCTGTGGGGTGCCGGCCCCACCAGACCTCCCAGGAGACCTCCCCAAATGTCCAGAGAAGGGCTCCAATTTAAAGGGGAGCCGGAGATGTGCTCGCCAAAACCCCTGCCAGCAAGACGCCAGGCATCCCAGCCACCCGACACTCAGGCCGTGCGTGTCCTCAGAGCCTGTTTTAAAGCGGGAGGGATTTGGGGTGGAAGACAGCTCCTTCAGAAATCAGAGATGAGGGGAATAAATTGGGGAACTAGCGTCGGGATCCAGACTGGTGTGGAAGAGTCCACAGGACTCCGCATCCGACGGGCGCGCCTGGGGCTGGGCGAGTCTGGCTGCAGGAGGAGGATGGGGCCGGGAGCCTGAGACAGGACGAGAGGGCGGGAAGGGGCTTGTTTAGAAATCTAAGGGCCATGGGCCACCAAAAACAAACCAGGAGGTGTGAGTCAGTGGGGAGGCTGGGCGCCAGGAAGCCTGCGCCCCGGGACATGCGTGGGGCAAGAGGAGCACCCTGAGCTTGGCGACGTTGGCCACGCGCCTGGGAGGGACCCACCTGTCCACGCGGAGACGCTCCCGGACCGATGCATCGGCCATGCTGCTGCCCCACTGTGGCTCCGTGGCTCCAGCCGGAATGGGAAAGCCTGGCCCCGCAGAACACGGAGGGCCACCCAGGCGAGGACTGGCGAGAGCTGACCAGCGTGTGTTTCGGCTTATGTGGTCTGTGGGAGCGTCCTCTGTCATCAGCCTAGTTGGGCAACAGATCCTCCTCGCCGTGCCCTGGAGCAGCATGGGGCCGCCCCACGGCCCAAGGCCCCCTCGCGCTTCCCCTCGCCGCGGCCGTGTCGTCCTGGCTCCGTCGCTGCCACCCGAGACCCCCGTCAAGTCACTGAGCCCTGCGCCTGTGTTCACACTTCTGTGTGTGTAGGAAGCCCCCCACCGATGTTGCTTGGGGTCGACGTGATAAACCTGAGGGAAAGGGAATTCTCTCACCCCCACCGACACGCAGGATGGGTGTGAAGGCAAAGTGAGATCATGAACAAAAGCACTCGGGCCCGTCCTGGGCTCCTCGCCGGGGTTAGCCGCGGTTGTCGGCCGCCACGGAGCTGCGGTTTCAGCCTGGAGGTCTGTGGCGTGCGTGGTTGGAAACAACTCACGTGGCTGTGGCTCCGGAAGAGTGCGCCTTCCCGGAAACCTTGGAACATGCTTCGGTAGGAACGCCAGTGAAGAGTCGGGGAGAGAGCACGAATTCCCAAAGGCAGATGGAGTTCGGAAGGACCCTTCTCTGTCTCCCGTCAGGCGGTGCCTGGTTGGTGCAGATTCACACCCTGGTGGGCCGTGGGTCCCTCACCTGCTCTGGAAACTGATCTTGGCCCTGAACATGAAGAATTGATGCCCGCTCAGCCTCGAGGGACGGGCGACGCTGTTTTCTTTCATTGTTTGAGAAAAGTCATGCCCTGGAGGAGTCATTCCTGGTTGTTTATGTTGATGGCAAAACTTGAACTTTATTGTCGTACAGCAAACAGAAGACAATCTGATCTTTGTTTTCCAGGGGTTTAGACTTTGAACAAAACCCCTTTTGTCCAGTACTGTAGCACGTACCTCATAGCGTAATTCAAGCTAAACACTTGAGGTTGCGTAAAAATGTGGGCCTGGGGGAGAAGGGAACTGTCTTGGGATCATTCCTTGCTGTGCATGGCACCTGTAGCATGCAGGCAGCTCGGTGTTGGATCTCCCCGCCCCCAACGCCACCTGGGGACCAGATGTTACTGTGGATGCAGGAAGGGGGTCCGGGGAACCGTCTCAGCCTTCAGGGCTTCCGTAGTGAGCACCACCGGCTGGGCGCCTTGTAAACAACAGACATTCATTTCTCATAGCTCTGGGGGCTGGAAGTCTGAGTTCGGGGCTGGTATAGTCAGGTTCTGGTGAGGACCTTTCCAGGTTGCAGACAGCCAAAATCCTGCCATATCCTCACGTGGCAGGACAGGCAATTTGTCTCTTCCTCTTCGTGGGATGACAGTCCCATTGGATCAGGGCCCCGCCCTGATGATATTGTTTAACCCCCAGTTACCTCCTGCAAACCCTATTCTCAAGTAGAGTCACATGGATGGGGGTTAAGGCCTCAACATGAGGTTGAGGGGACATGATTCCATCCATAGCAGTGACCCCACTTGTCTAAAGCCAAACGCTGGGCCTGCCCCTTGCCCCCCTGCCTGCCCATCCCCAGGTCCCCATTCTTGTCCCCAGGCCCCCCCGCCCACCGCCAGGTGCTCCCTGTGCTGCAGACAGAGTCCCCGAGGAGCCAGGAGCTGCCGGTCACCAACCGCAGAGGAAGCCAACGGGTGGGGCAGGCTCGTGCCGATTTTCATTCTCAGATCTTGTCACCTCTGTCTTATAGCAGAAGGGGGCCCTGATCTGGGAGCCATGAAGACCCCAGCTGTCCCCCAGGAGCCCGGGCACACCAAGGCAGCCAAGGGGACTACGTTGGGAGGAGGATGCGGTCAGGGCCATTAGGAGCTGTGAGGGGCCTCCAGGTCCGCCCTAGGTGAGGGGCTCTGCCTGTCCTGGGGCTGTATAGATCCAGCTGGGGCTTTAGAACTGGAACCGTTCGAGGAGCTGCGGCGGGTGAAGCCCACTTACGTCCTGGCTCCTGTTGCCATGTAGAGATGGGAGCCCATTTTCCAGGCTTGGGGTTCTTTAAAGAGAGGCCGGGATTGTGCTGAATGCTCTCTGGCCGTGGTGGGGGCTTTGGGAGGGAGGCCCTGGGGAGAGGCTCTCCCAGCTCACTGCCTGCGTCTTTGGCCAGAACTGGCACCTGCACGGGGCCTGGAAACGTCGTGCTCACCTGGGGCAGAAGCCTCCCTCCAGGATTTAGCTCCCAACGTCACTGCTATTGAGGCAGAGACTCTGCAGTGGCGTCAGGGAAAAGCTGGGCCCCAGAACAGCACCAGGCATGGGACAGGCCCTCAGTGCCTTCCACGGAGGATGCAGTGTGAGGCCTGGGTCTGCAGGGACGGTTTACCTGTCAGCTCTGCACACCGCTGACCGCTGTGCGCCGCCTCCACAGACAGTCCCCGTGAGCGATGCGGCTACCGTGGACACTGGGGCTGCCGTGGACGCTGGGGCTGCCGTGGACAATGGGGCTGCTGTGGACACTGGGGCTGTCATGGACAATGGGGTAGCCACTGTGGACAATGGGGCTGCCGTGGACACTGCAGCCAGCCTGCCCCGTGGGAATATGCTTTGTAAAGCCGGCAGGTGCTGAGGCCAGCACTCGCCTTCCACACTCTGCTCTTTGTAACGAGTTTGATAAACTCACCCTCAGGTGATTGGCATTTCTGGTGCACCGTTGCTTAGCCTGAAAGTGAGCTGCCCTTTTTCTGAGCCCATCCATTTGCTGCCTCCACCCCAGCCCCACGTGGCTGACGTCATCAGGAGGCAGCCAGAGGCTGCCTGGCGCAGGGTGAGCCCGGAACACGTGCTCTCCGCGTGAATGGGGCCCGTGCGGCTCCCTCCACGGGCGAGACTCCCAGGCTTTTGTGCAGACGCTCGCTCGTTTCCTCGCTGATAGGATGCGTCTCACGAGGCTCTGATTTACAGCACAGGTGTACATCTTCCCTGAAACCCACACTAAAAGCACAGTTTAGGCCAAGCGCAGGTGCAGTATGTTCGTGCATTTAAGCTTCTTAGATGCTGGGATGTGGAAGCAGCCGTGTGGCTTTCCTTTGCTTGTGAAGGTGAGTTTGCACTTTCCAGCTTCTCTCTGTATTTGGGAAGGCCACAGCTCTCTGGGGCTTGACTTAGCAGAGAACATCCCGCTACATCCTCATGGGTCAGGCGGGGCCATCCAGAAACATTCCCCGTGGGTGCTGGGTGCCAGGCGCCTTCGTGTCCCTGCCGTCCACGTCCCTTTGTCCCTGGCTGTGCTTCACGGCAGTGCCCCTTGGGGCAAGGACAGGGAGATGGGGGAGTCACCTGGGGAAGGCCCGGCCCTGGTGGGCGGCAACTTTGGAGCAGCTGGGATGGCACAAGACGCTGCTGCCAGGGCCGAGAAACCATCCGGCCAACCCCAGACTTGAGCTGGACCTCACGGGCAAGGCTGAGAGAAGCCGCATGGGGACCCCAGCCCAGGGAGGGGCACTGCAGCAGGAACAGGAGCAGACACCTGCAGGGTCAGCCCGGGCCACCTTCCAGCGCGGTGACCACACCCACAGCTCACGCTGCCAGGGACCGGGACTGGCTCGCCAGACTCACAAGATGCCGTCATGGGTGGGGCACATGCAGCGACCCCAGGTTTCAAGTCACTGCTCCCAGCTCCCTGCAAATAGCTGTGGGCGGGAGAGGGGCAGCGGGCAGGCACACGAGCTTATTCCTGTGAGGAGCGTGTTGCCACAGCCTCTGGGCTGGAGCCCCAGGCCTCAGAGAGGGAGCGCCTGCCTGTGGGTGGGGGGACGGGAGCTGCCAACCTGGTGGGGTCCCAGTGAAGCGTCCACTCGGCCTTCTGCTTGCCCCTGGGGGTGGTGGACACATCAGTGCTGGGCCTGCTCCGGACCCACAGGGCAAGCGGCCGGGGCATCCTAACACCACTGCCAGCCGCCAGCATCCTGGGGAAGTGGGTCGTATGTCCCAGGGCCGTGTGTCCCTCGCCACCACGATCCTTGGTCAGGACTTCCCCAGGAAGAATCCAGTGGCTGGAGAGATGCGGGGGTTAATGCTGGCGCCACCGCGGTTTTAGACGGGCGGCGT